AATTGCTGTGGAGGCTGAAGAAATCCTAACGGTCACCCTGCAGTCCCAGGCCACCAGCAAGCTGCTGCTTGGTCTGTGCTCAGAAAGCCAAGGGCTCCATAGCCAGACTCCCACGGCCACACTCAGGAAGGCCCCAGCAGTGCTGCCAACTCAGTGACCCACCATAGGGCACACTGCCCAAAAGGTGACCCAGCCTGCCTCTTAACACCCACAAGGACAGGGACCAGACACTGAGATGTCCACTCTGGCTACTGCAGAAAAAAACAAACACTTCCCCAGCCAAATTTTCTAAGAGAATCTTGCCCAACCCCCAACTTCAGCCATTTAAACGTCACAGGACAGCATTCAATGGGCAGAATCAAGTCACAGCAGAAATTATAGCGGCAAGAGAGTCTGGGAAAGGTGATTGTTAGCTCTCAATCCCCTGCAATTGCAGGAAGGCACCACAGAAGAAGGGTAGGGGACATTCAGCTCCAGTCCCCTCAAACCTACGACAGCAGTTAACTGTGTCTGCTACCCCCTTCTCTCTGCAGTTTGTAACTTGGATTTGGGTCAGTCCATATGTTGAAAGGGAGAAGGGAGGAGCTCTATCCCAGAATCCAGGGATGCAATGCATGACAATTAACAGTTCTTTCTCCTGGACACGGTGATTGGCTGAGGCAGCCACATGACTGTGGGCTGCCGAAACTGATCAAACCTCAGGACTTTTGCTCAAGCTCCTGAAAAACAGGCTTGCTCTTTTCCAGCTGAGCATGAAAAAATCTGGAGCTGCTATATCCACCTTCCACTGAGAAAGAAGAGCCTGGCTGAAAAATGGAGCAACTGAGATGAGGCAAAGCCATTACGATATTTCGAACCCCTGGATTCAGCCCTTCCTGAAGCCACCTAGGCTTTTTAGGTACATTAACCAATATCTTTTCTTTTTAAGTCAATTTGAGTTGTTATCTGCAAGAAAAACAGATAGAGGAATGTTATCAAAGACTCACTTTGATTATTTTCTGGAACACACAGGAGATGGTCACTGGGTCACTGAGATCAGCCCTCCAGTTCCTTCAAAGTTAACTACTCACACTGAAGTGACAAAGTCCAGAGAAAGTGGAGAGCTGTGAGCAGCCAGAGCAAAGGCTGCAGGACGGTCGGCGGCAGCCTCTGCTGTCTTCCACTCTACAGACACCACTCCTGTCTCTGACTTGCCCATGGGCTGGAGCTGTGTTAATTTTGTTCTGAAAGCTATAAAGGACTTAACATCTTCCTTGGGGATCCCACTGAAAAGTAAAAATATCAGAACTCATTATTACGTTTTTGGATATATCTTAAAATACATACTGTATCTAAAATTTTACATGTTGGGTGAATAAACACTCTCATTAATCAAATAAACCAATTAATAGAACTAATATATTTTTATTTTTTATTGAGACAGAGCCTTGTTCTTTGCCCAGGCTGGAGTGCAGTGGCATGATCTTGGCTCACTGCAACCCCCGCTTCCCAAGTTCGAATGATTCTCCTGCCTCAGCCTCCTGACTAGCTGGAATTACAGGCACCTGCCACCACGCCCAGCTAATTTTTGTATTTTTAGTAGAGACGGGGTTTCTCCATGTTGGCCATGCTGGTCTTGAACTCCTGACCTCAAGTGATCTACCTGCCTCGACCTCTCAAAGTGCTGGGATTACAGGCATGAGCCACCGCACCCCACCTACCCCATTTTATATAATGTGATTATTATGCATTGCATGTCTGTATATAAAAATATGTCACGTACTCCACATACACCCACAAAAATTAAAATAGAAAAAAATTTTTAAGTATAAGGAATATTAACAATATCCACAGAAGAAACACAAATCATCAATAAACATTTATACAATTTTTAAAAACTAATATATTTTTCTTCCTTTCTAATATCAAAGATGTTGCACATATGAACTACTCCACACATTTAAGCCGATTTAGTTTTTTTAAACCACAGCCTAGGTAAGGAGAGACAGAGGCCCAGGGAGCCTGACTATCCTCAGCCTTGAGTGAACAGCAGGGTAGGGAGAATCCCAGTGAGACAGTGCTCAGGGGACCCTGTGAGGCAAGGCCCAGATCCCCGTTTGGGAAAGGAAAGCTGATTGCCCCAGATGCTGGAGGGGTTGGCAGCTGATAGGTCTCAGCTGTCAACTCTCTTGGGGCATTATCTTGGCTGAAGATAACTGCCTCACCCAAGAACATGCCTCCTTTCAAGGGCAGCCCGTATCTAACTGCCTCCCCCAAGAACATGCCTCATTTCAAGGGCAGCCCATATCCCCGGTGTATGGAGAATAGTCAGGCTCCCTCACCTCAGCTGGGACAAGTGAAGGCCCCACTCAGCTCCAGAGCTCCCCAGTGCCTGACTGAGGCCTTCCCGGGGCCTGAATTACAGCTGGCTTCCTTCCCTTCCTTTCCCCTTCCCTCCTCAGGCACTGATCCTAAAGGCACTCCCTAGTAAACATCCTGCTCTCTAATCTCCATCAGAGTCGGCTTCCCAGGAAACCGCCTGCGCCTTTGTAGTGTAGGGCAGGAGTTCCTAGATTCCAGGATTTAACCAGGCAGAACAGAAAAGAATTCCAAACCAAGTTACAGCAACTAGTCCCTCCCCACTCCGTCTTCTAGTGGAAATAAAATTACCCTCAGGGTCCAGCTGCATGGCCTGCCTTCTCCACAAAAACTCCCCTGAACCCAAAGCAGCCATGTCCCTCCCTGTCCTGCACTCCCACAGCATTTCATGTGTCCCTTTTTCAGGAAGGATCACCTACAGGTATTTCCACATTTCTCCATTTTCAGTGTCTGTCACTGAGTTCTTCGTCTGTGAGACACATTCTCAGAGCCGGTTTTCTGATCTATAAAATGGGAGAAATGGGGATAATAAGCAAGCAGATAATCCCCTACCGCAGTGCCTGGCCACAGGAAAAGCTCATTAGGCTAATTCCCTTTCGCCTTCTTCCTGAAGGGACCACTCTCCTTTCACTACAGGGTGTTTTCCCATTACTGCTCTTTGGGGAAGAGGGGAGCAGCAGGAACCCCCCCAGGGACATTTCTGCTCATGGGTGTTTGCCTTCTCCACACACTGACCTCTGTGGGGTACTAGCTACTTGCAAAGAAAAGTGGTGTCATTTGGGCTTTAAAGAGACAAAGAACTGGCCAGGCACGGTGGCTCACACCTGTAATCCCAGCAGTTTGGGAGGCCGAGGTGGGCGGATCACCTGAGTGAGGTCAGGATTTCGAGACCAGCCTGGCCAACATAGTGACACCCCATCTCTACTAATAATACAAAAATTAGCTGGTCATGGTGGCACACGCCTGTAATCCCAGCTATTCCAGAGGCTGAGACAGGAGAATTGTTTGAACCTGGGAGGCAGAGGTTTTATTGAGCTGAGATCACACCACTGTACTCCAGCCTGGGTGACAGAGTGAGACTGTTTCAAAGAAAAAAACGGGACAAAGAACTCACACAGGTACTCCTAAGTGGTCAAACTGCAGTCAGCTTGTCCTAGAACATCTAAATCTCCATCTATTTTTAGGATCAGAGTTAATTTTCTGGCTTGGTGTGAGCTGCCAGGATGGGGGAGGTAGTTGAAAGTAGATGGTGTTTCACTCCTAGGTCTCTATCCAAAGGAAATGAAAACAGGGACTAGGGCAGGTGCTTGTACACCCATGTTCATTGCAGCAGTATTCACAATAGCCAAGAGGCAGAAGCAACCCCAGTGTCCATCAACAGATGAATGGATGAAATATGACATACACATACAATGAAATAGGCTTCAGCCTTATAAAGAAAGTAGTTCTGGCCAGGCACGGTGGCTCATGCCTGTAATCTCAGCACTTTGTGGGGACGAGGCAGGGGGATCACCTGAGGTCAGGAGTTTGAGACCAGCCTGGCCAACATGGTGAAACCAGGCATGGTGGTGGGTACCTGTAATCCCAGCTACTCAGGAGGCTGAGGCACAAGAACTGCTTGAACCCAGGAGGCAGAGACTGCAGTGAGCTGAGATCATGCCACTGTGCCCCAGCCTGGGCAATAGGGAGAGACTCCATCTCAAAACAAAAATTTTATATAAATGAGGCACCTGCAGGTCTGTAAAATATCAGGTCACTTCCCCACAAATGCTGAATCTGTCCCACCCCCTACACATCTTCAGCATGCCTCACCCTTGCTTAGCAGGTCCAACTTAAAAAAAAAATTACCTACATCAGAGATAGACTTGTGGCCCATGCCAAACTTCAGCTCCATATATTTTTTTTAATTTTGAGGTAGGATCTCCCTCTGTCACCCAGGCTGGAGTGCAGTGGCCTGATCGTGGCTCACTGCAGCCTCAACCTCTTGGGCTCAAGTGATCCTCCTGCCTCAGCCTCCCAAGTAGCTGGGACTACAGGCACACACCACCACCCCCAGGTAATGTTTTTTTAAAGTTTTTTGTGGAGGCAGGGTCTCACTATGATTTCCAGAGTGTTCTTGCACTCCTGGGCTCAAGTGATCCTGCTGCCTCAGCCTCCCACAGTGCTGGGATTACAGGCATGAGCCATGTACCTGGCCAGCTCCATTTTTAATAGTTGACTCTCTTCTTGACAGATGCTTTTTTTAGGTAACTTTTATAAAGTTCCAAAATAATAATAGTTATTGGCATCCATCCTTTCTCTTTTTTAATTTAATTTTATTTTTATGTTTTTATTTTTGAGATGGAGTTTCGCTGTTGTTGCCCAGGCTGGAGTACAATGGCATGATCTTGGCTCACTGCAACTTCTGCCTCCTGTGTTCAAGTGACTCTCCTGCCTCAGCCTCCCGAGTAGCTGGGATTACAGGCATGCACCACCATGTCTGGCTAATTTTTTATAATTTTAGTAGAGACATTATAATTTTAGTAGAGACAGGGTTTCTCCATGTTGGTCAGGCTGGTCTGGAACTCCCAACCTCAAGTGATCCACCCGCCTCAGTCTCCCAAAGTACTGGGATTACAGGCGTGAGCCACCATGCTTGGCTTTTTAAAAATTATTATTCTTTATTTTTTGAGATGGAGTTTTGCTCTGTTGCCCAGGCTGGAGTTCAGTGGCACAACCTCTGTCTCCTGGGATCAAGCGATTCTCCTGCCTCAGCGTCCCCAGTAGCTGGGATTACAGGAACCCACCACCATGCCCAGCTGTATTTTTAATAGAGATGGGGTTTCACCACATTGACCAGACTGGACTCAAACTTCTGACCTCATGATCTGCCCGCCTCGGCCTCCCAAAGTGCTAGGATTACAGGTGTGGACCACCACGCCTGGCCATCTTTTCTCTTTTAAAAAGGAGGGCAAGGGTGTAAGTCAGGACCCAACACACAGGTATGGACAGGTGGGCAGAGAGGGAAGGTTCAGCCAAGCCAGATGAAAGGGCTCAGGGGCACGTCCAGCGCCCAAGGTGTGAAGCCAGCATCTTGGCCTTGAAACACTAGCTAGTCAGCTCTTTCCCCAGAGAGAGGCCCCTCTGGCTCTTGGGTATCTCTATCTGCTGAGGAAAAGGAAAGGAAAAAAAGTGATGTGTATCCGGCACATTTGCTTTTTCTTTTCACTCCCCCCATTATGTAATAGTCACAGAATCCTGTTCATGCTCCTGAAGGATGCTTCTCGTCAATCCTTCATTCAGGGCTCCACTGGGGACCTCATTATCATTGGTCTTCGACTCCCTAACAACTGCTCCCTACTCCTCCAGCCCACCTCCTAGGGACCTGAGGCTGGGGCCAGGGGAGGCTGTACCTGTCATTCCTAAGCTGAGAGTGGGATGCAGACACTCAGTGACTTTCAAGGGAAAAATGATTCCTTCACCCCAGTCCGTCTGCAGCCTCAGGGCCCACTCCCACCATGCACCCAGCACCAAAGCCACATTTCCTGAATAGGCCAGGCCTAGGGACAACTCCGTGCTCTTATTCACACTGTTGCCTCTGTGCCTGGCTTTCTTTACAAGTCTTTAAGGTGTTATAACCCCATTTCTGCAAACAAGGTGTTATAAAAGATGGGTCCCTATTACCAGGGTTCAGTATAAATTTCATGATGACATAAGGCATGTGTTAAAGAATATGCTTGATTGGGGGAAAGGTGAACTTACCAAGCCAGGGCCTGCAAAATAAATGAAGACGGAGGTCCCTGAACCCATCCATCCTCCCACAGAGAGACACACGGGGTCCAGGGAGCTGCTGGGCCACACTATGGGTCTATTTAGCAATGGAGGTCCCCACTGCACCTGTCATTCTTTTTCCACATCCTACAAATAAAAAAAACTCAACAGTGGTGCAAGGCAGTCTGGATTTGCCAGCTGTTTAGAGCAACTGTCTGAAAGTACTAACTGCCTGGCCCTTGGATTCCACAGGACAGAAGGGACCTTCTTGTCAGGGGAAGAACTGCTAAGGCCGTGGGCTAGGTTCAGACGTAGCTTATCCTGTAGAGAGGAGATAGGAAACTCCCACCCAGTCCCAAGCAACCTAGAGAAAGCCCCTGGGGTCACTTTAGACAATTCTTCTCCTTGTATCAAGTGAGAAAACTGAGGCTCAAAGCTTGAGGCAAGTGGGAAAGATCACATACCTAGGAGGTGCTGGAGTGCAGATTCCAGACCAGGCTCTTCCTCCCATGATGTATATCACAATCACCCTCGTTGTCCAACCCACGGTCCTCTGCAGCTGTGTGCAGGCCTCTCTCATGGAGTGGCCCCATGGAGTCAGCCTACCATAGGCATCTCAAGTTTATGGGAGGTGAGGGTCCTGCCCTCCTGGGTTCTCCAGGATGACTGGAACCAAGAAGCAGCCTTGAGGATACCAACAGTACAAGTTCAATTGTGCTGCCTTACCACCTAAGATTTCCAGATGGCAGGGTCACTTTTTCTAAGTTTGGTTTCCCAATTTTTGTGCCCCCCTCAAAAATCTGTGCATGCTCAAGTAAGTGCAGCTGCTTTAAACACTCATCTCCCTTTCTCAGCACAGCAGAAACAGGGGCTCAGCACAGGTAACAGTGAAGTCCTACAGTGGGATGTGTGTGTGTCCCTATGTGGGGTTCTGGGTTGAAAAGCCTGGCAGGAGAGTTTAATAAATATGTCCTTACCTTTCACAGGATTCTGTGCAGTTTTATGATAGCCAACCTATATGGGTCAAAGGCTGCCAGAAACTGTGTATCTCTAATAGACAGCAGTTAGAATACATAGCAATGTATACCCTATACTTGCTGTAATGTCAAAGTTTCAGATAATTTAACACAGAGGAATTTCAAAAGTAGTTTAAACACATGCACACCATCATAAAATGGTGTTAAACCTGTCTTTCATTGGCCCGGGTCTGGAGGTTTCAAGACGTATTTATACCTCTCACCTCTCCTCCTCCCCAGTCCTGGGCAGTCTTTTACTGCCCCATTTGGTCGTGGTACTAGCCTTGACCCTGATCAAAATTATTTAAAACAATGATACTAGCCTGGGCCCTAAGGACTCGTGTGTCCTCTGATTGGCCTCCATATGGAAGACACTCCTTGGTTTCTGTTGTTTGCTGGAATTATTTTGCCGTGTTGAAGGGACAGCTTCATGCATCCAGAGACTCCATCTCCTCTGCACAGCTGTGGCAATGTCAGCCCTCAAGGTAAATGCAGTCAACACCATGGGAGAAATCCCCAGTTGGAGATAAGAGACTGTGAGATGAGGATAACATTCCAAATAGTGCAGCAGGCATTTGGAGGTCCAGCCCAAGAAATTCCGGAGGGCATGCAAATTGCTGCCAGCTACAGTAGATACTGGGATATGTGGACAGATGGTCTGAGGGTGGATGATTCCAGAGTCATTTCAGGAATACACACTGACCCTCCCAGAAAGCAGTTGGCAGGAAGAAGGCCTGATGAGGATCCAAGAGTGACCTTGTGGTCCTCAACCTTACTGCCTTAATAATGGGTGGAAAACAACCTAAATATAAAGGCATTTCTTTTTCTCCACTGTGCTTGTCTTGCTCCATCTGCAAGTCTAGGGACAAGGCCTGCTGTCTGGGATGTCAGAGAGCTAAGATTCCATTCTTTAATCATCCTGATTTGTAGTCATCGGGACAAGGGATTTGAATTACTATGCTATCATCTCCTTGGGCTAAAATTCATCAGCTACTAAGAATCTTTTTTTTTTTCTTTTACATACAACTTTGCTCAGAAGGCTACTAAGAATCTTAATGGAAACATTAGGTCTGATTTTCTTTTCTTCCATAACCTCTATTTTGGGGGCGTAGGTATTCTTAAAAAACTACTGTTCAATAATCCAGATCTGCTAACCTATCTATAATCTTGTTATGATCTTCTCCGTCACCATCATTACTCCCCAGATCACTTAAGTCCCCCTACTTGCACACCTACTACCTAGAGAATGTTGTTTTTAAAAGTCATCTTTCCTTTAATAGATAACTGCACAGAACAGCAAGGAGGCCTTTGAGGGAGGTGGAGCGTTATGCTCGTCATGGAATTTGGAGAGCAAGCTTGCGTTTGGGAATTCAGCAGTCAGCAAAGGTGCAGGTCCTTTTTTTGGAGACCTGTCAGTCCTCAGTTGAATATCAGAGTACACTCCTGACCTGCTGCAGTTTGCATTCAGTGATGACCTTTCCAGCAGGGTGTGTTGCAATGGCAAGCTTCCCATTGGCTACATGAGCCTCATTTGGAATCAGATGTAATTAGGTCTTTTCTGGCTTCCCACCCTATTCTAATTATTAGTGTACTTCACCTAACCTGAGTCAGCAGCAACTGCCTCAAACTCTCTGCATCCCTTTCTACTTAATCTAAGAAGTTTGCTTGACTAGACAGTAAATATCAATGGCTAAAAGATTCAGAATTTCTCCTCCCCTTCTCTGTCCTCTCCCATCTTTTTTCTTCCTTGTCAACTTATGTGATAATAATACTTTGATTTTTTTTTTTGAGACAGTTTTATTTTTGTTGCCCAGGCTTGAATGCAATGGCACAATCTCGGCTCACTACAACCTCTGCCTCCCGAGTTCAAGTGATTCTCCTGCCTCGCCTCTCGAGTAGCTGGGATTACGGGCATGTGCCACCACACCCAGCTAATTTTGCATTTTTAGTAGAGATGGGGTTTCCTCCATGTTGGTCAGGCTGGTCTCGAACTCCTGACCTGAGGTGATCCCCCCTCCTCGGCCTCCCAAACTGCTGGAATTACAGGCGTGGGCCACCGTGCCCAGCCAATACCTTGATTTTTAATCATCCTTTTTATCTTTCCAGTTGGTGTCACACCTTTGAGCTCATCTAACGAAGGACTTTAGGGACAGGAACGGGGGGCAGGTTGGAGGGCTGGTCTGAGTGCCCTCAAGATGAGAGCATTTCCAAGACAGGGTTATCTGCTTAGACAGTTGTCCTGACCCGCTTCCCATGTGGGAAGAGAGGACAGAGCCCAGGCAAAGCTTCCTTGTAGTGGAAATGACCGAGGTCTGGCTCTCAGGATGAGCAGCTTTGATGAAGGTCACTCAGAAGCTGTTGGCAGGTATGAACTCAAAACCTTGCTTGCTCTCATCCTACACATCCCCATGTGTAGGGTAAAACTTCTCAAAAGTTTTAGTCACAGAACCTTCACTTGAAACAAAATTTAAGCAGAATTGCACTGTTTGGAGCAGATAGCATATAGCAGCTGAGTAACTGAGAGCCAGGAAATGTGGGGGTGCCAGGAATAGGCTTCCCCTCATTTTCCCCTTTCCCCATCACCTGTCCCTGCAGTACCCCCACCAAACATCCCCAGGACCACTGCCCCCAAGACCACACAGCCTCCTTTAATCAAGGGGCAGTATATGCTGAGCCTTCCCTATCCCCGATTCCTCTTTTCCACAACCAGAGAGGACAGATGCTCCCAAGTAAAGGAGCTGAAATTCAAGTCAGAGACATTCCTAGGGGCTGTTTACTCGGTGTTCCATGCCTAACAGGTTCGGGTATGCCCTCTGGCTGCATTATGCCTCTGACAGTCCAGCAGACGCTGCCAAGAAGCAAGGTTGGCATTAGGCAGCAGGGTCACCACCGCAGACATGTGGCATCTGATACCTGCCCACCTGCTTGACCCTTCCAGCATGTCTCTCTTCCGCAGACAGATTCCTGGCTCCGTTGTCTGGGGTTTCCTCATGTCTTCTCATCCTTTCCATACTGCTTCTGCACTGAGTCTGAGATCAGGGCAGCATCTCAAATTACACAGCAGGGGTTTGGGAGAGGAGAGAAGACACGGAAATGTTAATACCCAAGAAAATCCTGCTTTTTAAAAAAAACATTGGGCAGCACTTGGCAAGCATCCAGCAGTGCGGGTAGTGGACGCCACATCCCTTTGCACTTAATCTAACAGGCGTGTTTGACTAGGCAATCTATATCTTGAAATCTCCTGGGAGCAGTGAGAGTGTGCCGGACCCAGAGTCAGAAGCTGGTTCTGCTTCCAGCTCAGCGGCGAACAGTTCCAGTGACCCTCAGCAAATGTCTTGACCCTTTAAACTTGGCGTATATTGTTAATAAAATAAAATGTCATTTCCAAGGCCTCTTCTAAGCTCTACCTTTGTGTTTAACAGGCCACTGCTAGTTACTGCCTGGCAGTCAGTCCTCAGCCCCCTTCAGAGCAAAGGGGTCCAGGAGGCTCTTTCAGTGCGGTTGTTCTGGACAGTGTCCTGCATATTGAATGAAATCAGCCTTATGACCTTGCTCAGGCCAAATGCAACCACACAGTGGACCAAGGGAAATGAGCCACCAGTCAGGTGGCCCATAGCCACTCTATCCAAAGGGGGCCCTCCTTATTGACAGTGACCAGACTGAGATTCTCTCATGCCAGGAGGATGACTGAAATTCTCACAGAGAACATGCTGGAGTAACCCAGGAAGACGTGGTAATCTGAACAAGGATGGCCATTGCTCCATTTCTGCAGGGCACTCCCATAGGCCAGCTCCGGGAGCCGGAGGACCCAGCACTCAGTTTCTCATGTGGCCTTATGGTCAGCACCTGTCACCAGAGGAAGGTCAGGCCCATCTTGTCCTGGCAACCCAGAATTACGTAGTGGTGATGATTCCATTCTATCTTGCAAGGAGGTCATGATGTGTAGGAGTTAAGACCTGGGTCTTAAACCAACTGGGATTGTAAACCGGGTATTGGGGATTACTCCTTGTTTCTAACCATACAGTCAGGATTAATTCCATGTGGGTCAATGGCGCAAACGTTTCTTCAAAATCAGGAGCCCTGGGTAGATTATAACTAATAAGGTGACCTTGAAAAAGATGCTTGACCTCTGTCTCAGTTTCCTCGCCATCTGGTAAGTACAATGTTGTTCAATCTACCTGCCTCCTAGAGCTGCTATAGAAAGAAATCAAATGTAATCATATATAGGAACATACTCAGGCATATACAATGGACTAGATAAATAATTGTCCTTAAAACTCAGAGAGTGAGGGGCATGAGACAACAGATCATAGAACTAACAGCCCTCACTCAGGAATCAGACTTGATTGAGTTCAGATCATGGCTCTGCCGATTCCTACAAGAGTGACCCTGAGGCCGGGCATGGTAGCTCACATCTGTAATCCCAGCACTTTGGGAGACTGAAGCGGGTGGATCACAAGGTCAGGAGTTCAAGACCAGCCTGACCAACATGGTGAAACCCCGTCTTTACTAAAAATACAAAAATTAGCCAGGCATGGTGGTGCACACCTGTAATCCCAGCTACTCAGGAGGCTGAGAGAGGAGAATTGTTTGAACCCAGGAGGCGGAGGTTGCAGTGAGCCAAGATCACACCACTGTACTCCAGCCTGGGTGACAGAGAGAAACTCTGTGTCAGAAAAAAAATAAAGAAAAAAAGAGTGACCTTGGACAAATTACTTAGCCTTTCTAGGCCTCAGTTTTCTCATCTGTAAAATAGCAATAATACAGCACTTACTCTATAGGGTTGTTAATTAATGTATGTCAAGCACTTAGGGAAGTGCCTAGCATATAGTAAATGCTCCCAAATGTCTATTATCATAAAGAACACCATGTTCCTCTGGCCAGAAGCACATTGTGTGGGCTCCCACAGCCTTCCTGTGCCCATAGAAGGGAAGCACTTACTGTGGACCTTGGCTTTCTTGAAAGAATGCCTGGTGGGTCCTCCTCCAACAGAGGTGGTTCCTGGCCTCCTATTCTGGCACAGTTGACTGTGAGGACCACGTGCAACTTCCGCCTTTCCAAGAGCCTCAGTTTCCTCCCCTAGAAAAGAAAGGCATTGGTAACGTCCTATCCCACAAATGGTCATTTGGATTCCCTCGCTTGTGGTATCCTGGACAAAGCCCCTACTCCATGATTTCCTGGATGTACACCCTACCACAGACGGACGCATGAGCCCACGCATGCCACCGAATCAGCTAGAGAAGTTGAGGAAACAACCCTGGCCCTGAAGCACTCCCTCAGGAAGACATGGAGAATTATTTTGGCTTTAAATACCTCTAAAGAAGGTTTAGAAAAGGAACTTTCCAGCTTTTCCTTTGCCTTTACGTTTTCTGGTTGGGAACATAGAAATTTCCTATCTTGAGTCCAGAAGGAAGCGAACATTTTAAAAGAGAGTTTTGTTTCCAGAACACAGTCTCTTCTCTTTAGCAAAGCCCTTAATTGGAAACAGTTGTCATTGACCCCGTTGGCATGCCCCGGGGTAGGGAGGGCATGCACCCAGCCTGCAGTGACTTTGCTCCACCATTTCCAAGGAGACAGCCTGAAGAAGTGAGGCCTGGATGCTGGGGCCCTTGCTAGGCTGACCAGCCTGCTTGGTAAAGGGCCAGGGCAGAGGGTGGTTTCAGCCGAGCACACTTGGTTTTCTGCAGACAGTTCTCATTCAGGCTGTCCAGACGATCATCTGCACGACCCCTAGAAAGGTCCCCTCTGAAGGAGGAGAACAGGAGAGGAAGAGGGTGGCCATTGCACTTAGAGCGACTCTTCTGTGTTGGGTTAGCGGCTGGCTGGACTTCTGCACTTGGCTGCAGCCTCTAGCCGATGACACATTCATACCCAGCCAGAACGACAGCCTTGGCTGCAGGTGTGGATTTCTTAACACCCAGATGTGAGCTGTGAGTGACACATAGCAGTGACCAGTTCCTAATATTTGCTCAGATGACATATAAGTCTTTGTCCTTGAAGCAGATTCGAAGCCAAACCTTGACCTCTGTCACCCTGGCTTCCACAGATGCTTGCTTCATATGTCCTAAGGTAAGAAATAGCACAGCTCCATCCTTGAGCCTCACCACAAACAAATGCCAATGTGCAATCCCAGGAAGTTTCTGCATTGGGAAGAGGCTGCTGGAGCACTTGCAGTGAGTGACCAGATCACTCGGGCCCTGTCAGATGACTCATGTCACATTCCTCAAGGAGAAAATTACACTCTTTATCTGTGGCCGAGGGGAGTAGGCATTGAGGTTTTCACTGTGGAGGTAAAAAAAGAAATGTTTTGTAGATTTTACCTTTTTTAACCTCAAAAATATTTTTAAATTTAAGATGTTTTCTGAGGTAGAGTCTACGTGAGGTGTGACATGGTAATTGGGAATCTTGCCATCCAGCTAAGCTAAGGCCTATGGAACATAATTCACTCTTTCCTTCAGCAAATATTTGAACAGTATAAAACTAAAACAGCCGGTTAAGCAATGTGCAAAGTTCTCCCCCTGAAACGCAGCCTGGAGTCACAAGACTTGATCACTGGTCCACAGCAGTCAGAGTCCAGTTAAGACCTTCAGAGACTGTAAAGACAGGACCCATTATGGAATCTCACCCCAAGTTAAAGATAACACCGAATTGCATTTTTTTTAAGCATAAGGGAAGGAAATCAATGATCTGATTTTTCCTATGATGAATGTTTCAGCAGCAAATGATCTCCACCTCTCCCATCTTCCCACCCCCGATTATTCCCATCCCTCCAACTCCCTCCCCCAAAATGCTCATCCACCAGAGGAAAGTGGGGGTGGGGGAGGTGTTGCACTTGAGTGACAGATGTGAGGTTATGGCTAGAAAGTGAGAACTCAACCCAGGGGAGAGAGAGAGCGACTTCCTTTCACAGCAAAGTGGTCTAAAGTAGGCCAAGGCAGCTGGTTGGGAGAGGAATGAGAATTCTCAAGAGGAGATGAAACTGATGCCGTAATCTCAGAGTGGGGAAGACACGGCAGAATTTAATTTGGGAAGTTTCCGTGAAAGAACTGAAGCTGTTGGAGCCTATGAGAGAGTAATATCGGAATGAAATCGAAAGAGTTGACGTGAAGGCCATGCAGAAAATTATCTTGATTCTTCCAGGAAACTAAGGACAAAAGCAATAATTCTGATTCCACAGAGAAATGTGTGTTTTGGGGGAAGAGTGGGGGGAAAATCGTTCAAGGAGAAACATTGGCTTTTAAAGTCACTAGACTCAAAGATGGGGTTGGGCCCATGGAAGGGAACAGGAAACTAGAAAGGCTTGGAAATAACTTGGTGATATTTTTGGTCGATACAAACTGAACTTTCTTTTTTTCTTTTTTTGAGACTGAGTCTCTCTCTGTTGCCCAGACTGGAGTGCAGTGGCATGACTTCAGCTCACTGCAACCTCTATCTCCCAGACTCAAGCAATTCTCCTGTCTCAGCCTCCCAAGTAGCTGGTACTACAGGCATGCACCACCATGCTCAGCTAATTTTTTTGTAGTTTTAGTAGAGACAGGGTTTCAACATATTGGTCAGGATACTCTCAAACTCCTGACCTTGGGTGACCCACCCACCTCAGTCTCCCAAAGTGCTGGGATTATAGGTGTGAGCCACCACACCCAGCCTATACAAGCTGAACTTTCTAAACTCTAAATTCCATGGTCTTTGGTGGACTGTATCCTAGATTTGCCTTCCCTTAGCTATGTGCCAAGAGGTTGGATGCAGTAGGCATTGTGTGGGAGGGGCACTGTAGGAGCCACAAAGTGGAAAGACTGTGAATCCCAGGGTGCCCTCTTTGGAAAAGCCATTGGGAGAGGGTGACCTACCACACAAGGAACGATGTAAAGTGGCTGGAGGCTTCTGCTTGTGATTATCCTGAGGCCAGGTCTTCACATAGAAGCTATTATGTCTATTTGTTTTATTTATTTCTCTCTAAGTTTCTTTAGCTGTTAAAAAAAAAAAAAAAAAAAAAAAAAAAACAGTTCTCAAAGCAAGGTCCCTGGACCAACAATGTCAACATCACTGGGGAATTTAGAACATGAAACAATGGTCTGCCTGGCCCAGACCTACGGAAGCAGAATCTTTAGGGGTAGGGCCAGCAATCTATATTTGAATAAGCCCTTCTTGCAATCTTGTTTGAGAACCACCTGTTTAAGCAAAACGGCAGACCCATTGCACTATCAGAGTCTTAAATATTTCACCCTTGTGCTATTTATGGGTCTATTTTTGGCTTTTGTATTTAAACTGCCTTTGCAGAAATAGACAAGATTTCTGTGCCGTAGAACTCAATGTTTCTGGAGTTATTACGCATATTACCAAATTCACAATTTTAACACTGGGGGTGAAGAGAAGGCACAGCAGGACCGGCATGTGATTTGATCAACTCAATCTGCCTTCTTTTTCTAGGGTGAGGGGAGTGCAAAACAGTACAAAGAGATGTGGGGATGGAGGCTTTGGCTGAATTTGGCTCCCCCTGAGCTGTTCGTCTGAGGCAACTGAGAAGTGTCCTTAAGACCTGCACCAGCTGGCTCTTGCCTTTGGATACAAGTGCCCAGAGGCCGGCATGTGATCTGCCAGCAGCAGCGAGGCTGCTCACATGCTTTCCATCTCCTTTTCCTTTCCAAATTCAATTATCTTGCATTTCTCAACCCTGAGTTTCCTCTTTAACCCCAGGAAGAATGGGATTTTAGAGCCTGGAGACTCAGTTATATAGTCATCCCTTAGCCTCCTCTCCCCTCCCAGCCACACATTCTGACTAGCACTCTCCCTGTCTGGGTTCCAGACCTGCCAAGACATTCCAGGACAGAGGCGATTCCTTCCTGCTGGCTGTCCAGCTCTGGTTGTCAAGCTAGGTATGTGAGGCCAAGCACAGGTATCTGTTAGAAAGGCCAAGAGATGCGTGATCCCTGCAGCCTCTGGCACGTGCAGAGGAGCAGGCAACTGGGGCTTGTGCAAAGCTTGGAGACGGCACAAGGAGCAGGAGAAGACTGTGTGTTATGTAAGTGAAACTGTGGGTTGCGCGCTGCTATTCACCTGTTGCTAATTAGGGCACTGCCTGTCAGGACTCAGGCTAGAAAACATCTTCCTCTGACCCACGCTCACCTCGCTGTCAGAGTGAAGACATAATAATCCAGCCTAGGCCTGGCGCGGTGGCTCACACCTGTAATCCTAGCACTTTGGGAGGCTGAGGTGGGTGGATCACCTGAGGTCAGGAGTTCAAGACCAGCCTGGGCAACATGGTGAAACCCCATCTTTTAAAAAATAAAAATAATCCAGTCTAGAAGGGTTCTGTCCAAAAGAAGAATTTATTGAACCATGTGGCATGTTAGGTACTGGGGATACGAGATGAATAAACCAGGGGCCCTGCTCACAAGGAACTCATGATCAAGAAGAGGGACACAAGTAAACAGTTGTGTACAATCCATGTGATAGAGAAAGCGAAACTATCTTCAGTGTATAAAAATCCTGCACTGCTTTGAAAGTTGAGTCAGGCCCACCAGAAGCCCTTCCACAAGTGTGTTCTAGGCAGGGAGAACAGTAAGCGCAAAAGTTGGGGAGTGGGGCTGGGGTTCTCAAATCTTGAAATGGCAAAACCAAGCTAAGGTTTCCATGCCAGATACAGAGTCAGGAGGGCTGCTTCCTCTGGACAGGCCGGAATAAGACTCAAAATATGAGTAGAACCCAAGAAGAAAGTAGGTAGGAACAGGTAAGGACACGGACAGAGAAGGTGGGGAGAAGCGGGGGTGGACAGATCATGAGCTAGCATTGAGGCTTGTCTTTGTGAGCCTCTGCAGCGGACGCTTGGGAGCAGGAGCAGAGCGTACAAGGCAGAGTCAGAAGAGAGGCAGCTGGAGCCCAGAAACAATTTAAATACTCCCCTGCCCTGCCCTACATGGCCTTCTGTATCCAGGAAGGCACTAGCAGGAATGAGAGGGAGAATCCAGAAGCAGAGAACTGAAATCTGCCCTTTTGAACACAAGATAAAGTTTTGAAAAAACATCAGGGAGCAAAGAATTTACAAGGGTCGAAAAGTTTATGAAGCAAAAAAGAATACCCCAGAGACATGTTTTGTTCTACTTCCCGACCTACAAAGAGATCTCCCTCAAGTGTCAGGCTGTCACCCCAGCTCTCTTCCTCTCATGGCCCCATCACCTGGGCTGTGACTTCAATGACCATGAACACCCTCAGTCTCCAGACCAGCCTCTCTCCTAGCCGATAAGTGCTTACTGGACCTTCACCTTGAACCCCCATGGATGCTGCAGCCCTACCATGTCCAAAACTGAATACACTATCACCAGCCCTCCCTGCCGTCCCCTTGCCATTGGGCACTAGCTCAGGGAATGGTACCTCAATTCACCTTAATGCCTGACCCAGAAATCCAAGGAGACCTCTCTCTCACCTCCTCCTTCTAATCAGATTACTTCCTAAGCCACTCTGGAACCTATTCAGCTTATGTTAGTTTGCTATTTCTGCTGTAACAAACTGCCACCAACTTGTGGCTTAAAACAACACAGGTTTATTATCTTACAGTTCTGAAGGTCAAAAGTCTTACAATTGGGATGTCAGCAGGGCTGTGGTCCTTTTGGAGGCTTCAGGGAAAAATCTGCTTCCTTGCCTTTCCTTGCTTCTGGAAGCTTCCTGCATTTCCTAGCTTGTGGCCCCTTCCTCCTGCTTCAAAGAAAACAGCAGAGCATTGTTGGAGCTCAGAAAACAATATCCCAAAATGAAAGTCTCAGAAGGAGCCTCAGAAGCAAAACTTCTTCCCTGACCTTTTCCTGCACTCCTGTCCCTTAGTCCCATTCCCCCTGAGGCAAGCCACAGAAACTAGAATCCCTCTCCTCCAAGCTGGATCACAGAAACCAGATCATCTTTTCCCCAAAGCCAGCAATAGAACCTAAAAATATTTCTCTTACTTTCCCTCTGCCTTTCTGTGTAATAACTGGCCATAAGGAAACTGTCTGACCTTCCTTGTTTGACTGAAGATCATAAGATCCCCATTCCAGAGAGGGTCCTGCCCCATTCCCAGAAGGAAGGAATGCTGCTCAGAGAGAACAGAAGAAACTAGGCAGCCAGGACTTGCTGTGTCCCCTCTCAGTCTATTAGTGAAGCTGCCTTTGCAGAAATGATGACAGTGAGAGAAATCCGACATAGAAAAATTATGATAGTGAGAGAAATCTGACATAGCTGACTCTACCTTGTTTCTGACCTCAAGATATCTTTGTTCTTTCCTGGGTATAGTCTAAGCTAACTTTGGG